CATGGATTTTGAGAAGGGAAGAGGGTTTTAAGGGCTCCAAGGGTTTAAAGGGCTCATAGGAACAGGCGTAGTAATAACAAATAGGGGGCTGCTGAGTTGGGCTGGGTCATAGAACAGGGATGCTCCAAGAGGGTATGGGTGATATTGGCATCTCCATGGGACAACGGAGCCCCGCGTAGCGTTAGAAATGGCCGCAGCTCGCTTTGAACTTTCGGGTAGTGAATAGTTCAGGAGCCGAGTAGGGTAGAGATTGTCTCAGCACAAAGCGGGGTTAMTCCTTCCTCACTGAGGAAGCAATCAATGCCCTGTGATTATTCTATATTTGCGTCATGCAGGGAATCCGTCTCCAGGGGAGCAGTGGCTGAGGCTCTTCCTGCCCTAATGGGAAGAGGCGTGTGGTTAAATGTTGTAATCAAATTCATGATTGGAGCCTTGGCCACTGGGCCCATTTAAAAAAAAAAAAAAAAAAAAAAAAAAAAAAAAAAAAGGCCTCTATTATTTTAGCTCAATGGACCCTGCTCTGGATTCTCAACACTCAGGCTGTAGTATAGTGGCTTTGCACATCTGTGTCCACAGCCCTGCAGATGCTGTACGGTGGGTTTCTGCATTTGTGTCAACGTGTCATGGATTTCCGCGGCGGGCGATCGCCCCAAAAGAGGTACAGCAGAGGTAAAAGTTAACGATGTGTGGTGCTTCACATTCGTCTCGACACCAACAGGCAATCGGTGGCAGTACTGGTAGTAGCTCCCAGATTCAAAGGAACCGTCCTCCAAGATTCGAAGGAATGGTCCTCGGTCTCCCATGGACCCTGGTTGTTGGGTTTTCGAAGGGAGGGTCTGGGACGAGTATACCATAGCATAGTAGGTATACCGGGTGTGGAAAATGTCCTGCGCATGCACCTATGAATTCGCCAGAGTTTTGGGGATACTTGTACATGCACTACCCGCTTGCATTTGTTAAAAGATGCATGTGGAAAGCGTTTGCATTTGTTAAAACTTAAAAAGATGCATGTGGAAAGGGGACCCGGACCCCCCC